TATTATCCACATTGAACTGCTTAATGGTAAAAACCACTTAACTGCATTTCACCACAGGATGTTTGGTTGTTGTTTTTAGAAGGTTAGGCATGGAGACTACATTTCACTTCCTTGTGATCTGCTAAACCGTTGATTTCTTCACATAGAAGTATTGGTTTTGTATTTAAAGAAATAACAGTGTATCTCTTTCTGTTTATTGACTACCTTTGTTCATCCAAACCCTGGGTTTAAACATTATACTGTGACATTTTTGTCTGAAAGTACATGTGGTTTTGTTTGATGTTCATAAATTGACAAAATAACTTTTGGTTATTTTTGAATAACAAAAAAAAAAGATACAGGATGATGTCATCATTGTGGAGAAATGGAAACAATTGAACATGTATTAGAATGTGGGGCATGTGAAATAGAAAAAAAAATGAATTAGAAAACATGAAAGAAAAAATAAAAGTATAAACATTTTTATATATGTATATATTTTTTTATTAACACAAGTGACATAATTTAAGGCTTAAATAAATGAAAAGATAAATACGTTTTTCTGTAACAATTTCCATACCGGTAGGTGGCGTTAATGCGCCCCTTCAGTTTCTCGCCAACTGAAAAATACACTTCAAGAAGCAGAAGAAGGTAAGAGAATAAACTGGTATGCGCTGCAGGCAAACCACCCCCGGCTTTCAAGAAGTGGTTTAACCCTACTACTCAGCAGCCAATCGGAAAAAAGCACACTCACCAGCTAAAAATGTTAAAGTGGCCAAATGGCTTAAAATCACATGAAATCAACGCGTAGACGACGGGTATTTGACGTGTTGTCAACGCGTAGTTGACGCGTTCTTTACGCGCTCTCAACGTGTTAACTACGTGTGGCCGATTATAAGGCGAAGACAAAACGTTGACAACGTGTAAACAACGCGTTAATCACGTGTTGTTTGCTCGTGAAAATTTCCGCGTTTTTAAACCAGTCGGCCTTCCATACGGAGCCAGCAGCGTCGCTCGACACATCGTGGGAGCCAGCCGCGTCGCTCGACACGTGGTGGGCTCCCAGCCGCGTCGCTCGACACGTGGTGGGCTCCCAGCCGCGTCGCTCGACACGTCTTTTAAATAAAGAACTGAACTTAGAATTTCTGTTTTGAGAGGTTTTTACAAATTAAACAGTTGCAAAATCTAGGTTGGTAAGCAGTGAGGTGCCTGTGGAGTAATGTCCACTTTTTTTTTTTTTTTCAGCGCCAGCAGCAACCATACAGGTGCTGGTCATAAAATTAGAATATCATGAAAAAGTAGATTGATTTCAGTAATTCCATTTAAAAAGTGAAACTTGTATATTATATTCATACATTACATACAAACTCATATATTTCAGATGTTTATTTTGTTTAATTTTGATGATTACAAATGACAACAAATGAAAATCTCAAATTCATCATATCAGAAAATTAGAATATTACTGAAGACCAATAAAAACAAAGGATTTATAGAAATGTTGGCCAACTGAAAAGTATGAACATGAAAAGTATGAGCATGTACAGCACTCAGTATTTAGTTGGGCCTCCTTTGGCCTGTATTACTGCAGCAATGCGGCGTGGCATGGAGTCGATCAGTCTGTGGCACTGCTCAGGTGTTATGATAGCCCAGGTTGCTCTAATAGTGGCTTTTAGCTCTTCTGAATTGTTGGGTCTAGTGTATTGCATCTTCTTCTTCACAATACCCCATAGATTTTCTATGGGGTTAAGGTCAGGAGAGTTTGCTGGCCAATTAAGAACAGGGATACCATGGTCCTTCAACCAGGTACTGGTAGCTTTGGCACTGTGTGCAGGTGCCAAGTCCTGTTGGAAAATGAAATCTGCATCTCCAAAAAGTTGGTCAGCTGCAGGAAGCATGAAGTGCTCTAAAACTTCCTGGTATGTGGCTGCGTTGACCCTGGACCTCAGAAAACACAATGGACCAACACCAGCAGATGACATGGCACCCCAAACCATCACTGACTGTGGAAACTTTACACTGGACTTCAAGCAACGTGGATGAAGTGCATCTCTTCTTTTCCTCCAGACTCTGGGACCTTGATTTCCAAAGGAAATGCAAAATTTACTTTCATCAGAGAATATGACTTTGGACCACTCACCAGCAGTCCAGTCCTGTTTCTCTTTAGCCCAGGCAAGACGCTTCTGACGCTGTCTGTGGTTCAAGAGTGGCTTGACACAAGGAATGCGACAGCAGAAACCCATGTCTTTCATACGTCTGTGTGTGGTGGTTCTTGAAGCACTCACTCCAGCTGCAGTCCACTCTTTGTGAATCTCCCCCACATTTTTGAATGGGTTTTGTTTCACAATCCTCTCCAGGGTGCGGTTATCTCTCTTGCTTGTACACTTTTTTCGACCACATCTTTTCCTTCCCTTCGCCTCTCTATTAATGTGCTTGGACACTGAGCTCTGTGAACAGGCAGCCTCTTTAGCGATGACCTTTTGTGTCTTGCCCTCCTTGTGCAAGGTGTCGATGGTCGTCTTTTGGACAACTGTCAAGTCAGCAGTCTTCCCCATGATTGTGTAGCCTATAGAACTAGACTGAAAGACCATTTAAAGGCTTTTGCAGGTGGTTTGAGTTAATTAGCTGATTAGAGTGTGGCACCAGGGGCCATCAATTTTGAACCTTTTCACAATATTCTAATTTTCTGATATGATGAATTTGAGATTTTCATTTGTTGTCATTTGTAATCATCAAAATTAAACAAAATAAACATCTGAAATATATGAGTTTGTATGTAATGTATGAATATAATATACAAGTTTCACTTTTTAAATGGAATTACTGAAATCAATCTACTTTTTCATGATATTCTAATTTTATGACCAGCACCTGTAGCTGGTTTCTTCCCTATTTCTCCAGCATATTGACTCACAGTTCCCAATCAGCCATCCACTAGCAAGTGCCTGCAGGATTTCAAATTTGAACATTCTGCTCCCATAACATTTACATTGGTATCTTCGTCCCTGTGAGGGAACAAGTAGGGAACAGCAGCTTAGTACTGGTTAATGAGGCATCATGAAATATTTTGACTCGATGGCAAACTGTATTCATACTGTCACTGAATACTGACACCTGCTGGACACTTTTATAATCACTAGACAACTTTTTACAAACTGTCACAAGTACAAATGTAGTTTACATCTATCCAGAAGTGCTCTACAGGATGTAAATGTTTACATGTGTACAGAGACTATATACTAAAAACAATGAATATAGGCAGTAATTGTAAGAGGCTAAAGGATAAATATTAAAGCAATATACAAATTATACAGCAAAGTTAGGATATTAATTATATAAATATATTAATGGGGTTATAATACAGGATGAATGACATAATAGCAGCCCATAGGTTATTGTGTGTGTGGGAGGTGGGGTACAATCCTTATAGTTGGTGTCAGGAGGCGTTCAGGAACATGACAGCTGTGGGGAAGAAGCAGTTCCAGTGGTTCTAATCGGTAGGCCTCTAATTCCTCCCAGAGGGCAGGAGTGAATAGGTGACTTGTGACCTAATGCTAGGGTTTGCTAGGTAAACCTAGATAACCCTGACAGTTATCAGCAGTAGTTAAAACACAATAACAGACAAACTTAATTACTTGATAATCTGAATTATTTCTCTTCAAAAGAATCATTAACCTCAGTGACTCTGCTGCACTGGTGCGTCGGTTACTGAGTGGGAACCTGAATGTTGCCTCTGCGGATGCCCACTTCTTTTTTGAACCCACAGCAAAAAAAAAACTTTTGTTATATTACCTTTTTTATACTCATTTTATTACTCATCTTTTTACCACAAAGTTTCAGTAATCATTTATTACTTTAATTGAAACATATTTTACCAGTGTCCTGTCTTGTCTTGTGCATAGCCAATATAAAAGCAGAAATTAAGCATAAAAAGGCCCAATTTACCACACATGTAACTCAGAATATTTTTCATACTGCTTGTGGAAATGAATATACATTTTGCATTTTTCATTTAATTTTAATGTATGCATCCAAATAAAGGATCATTCTTATTTTACAATCCACATTTTAAGACATTAGATATGATAATCTGGTTCCTAAGAGTGGTAGATACTGTTGTTCACTGAAGATAAGTGATTGAAATGATAACTAGAGTCTAAAGTCTAAATTAAACTAACATGAGTTTGAACTGCCCTGATAAAATGCCTATTTACATAACATTTTGAAAATGTAATGACATAAGTTTATTAAAAACGTATCAATGAAACTAGAAAATACCTCGTTATCATTTTTATTTATTTATAAATTTTTTAAAATTAATTTTAAGACATCTTTATATGTTTTTTCAGACTGGTTTCTTTGGTGCTATTACACATCCAGTTCGAAAGAGGGCGGTAAAAATCTAATTGCTTTTATCGCAAGTCTTCCAAGATTTTCTATTGGTATGATGTATCACCTCTTCTAAAATATCCAGTGTAAAGGGTTGGTGTTTTCCATAGACATGATTACGCAAGAATTACGGGCGCCATCTTGGGGAGGTTTAACCAGAAGAAGCACTGTGCTGCGTATTCTCTATATGTATATGTTTCCCAGATATGTATTTTTTTATATATATAAAAAAATAATAATATATATATATCCATCCATCCATCCATTTTCTTTTACACGCTTGTCCCAAGTGGGGTCGCGAGGGGTGCTGGTGCCTATCTCCAGCAGTCAATGGGCGAGAGGCGGGGTACACCCTGGACAGGTCGCCAGTCCATCGCAGGGCAACACAGAGACACACAGGACAAACAACCATTCATGCACACACTCACACCTAAGGACAATTTAGAGAAGCCAATTAACCTAACAGTCATGTTTTTGAACTGTGGGAGGAAGCCGGAGTACCCGGAGAGTAATATATATATATATATATATAAATATTTTTTTTTTGTTGTTGTTTTTGTTTTTTAAGAATAAAAGAAAATGTGAAATTAATTTCACATTTTCAGCTGTCGACCGCCCCAAGATGGCGCTAGGCGTTTTCTAACTGGAAAGCTGTGAATAGAGTGAGACCTCTGACTCTGCTAGGATCTAAATCCTCACAGGAATCTCCTCTGCAGCTCCCAAACACTGGGTGAAAGGTCTGCTGATAACAAGCAGGAACTTTGCAGTAAGTGTTTGTCCTCTGTCTCCAGTGGATCTTTAATGATTTTTCCTTTAACACTCAGCCTGCTTGTCTCGGCTTGTTGCGCGTGTATTTCTATGTCTCAGGGGCAGGAATGAGAGCCTCACCGCTGAGCTCAACATGAGAGAGTGGTGGATCCATGTGGGTCTGATCTGCGTCCCGCTGGTGGCCGTCTATCTGCACATCCCGCCTCCTCAGCTCTCCGAAGCCCTGCAGAAGTGGCACAGCTCTGGGGATTTCTTTCACTTTAGAGAGAAGAGGATCTTTTACAGAGGTAGCACACGGCAAAGGAGGATTAAGCAAATCTCCAAACATCCACCTCCTTCCTTTCTCACATCACTATGTTACTCCTAGACTCCTATGGTGCTTTGGGAAGCTCAGATGTGGTCCTTCTCCTCCATGGTTTCCCCACCTCCAGCTATGACTGGAACAAGGTACCCTGGATACATCATCTCTTTATTTTCTGCATGATCAGCAGGATCCATAGTGTCTGGCACTTAATCACATTTCACGATCTATTATTCCTGTTGTCCATTATTTATCTGTTATTCAGCTTTCTGTCCATTGTCATTTTCAGGTTCCATGTTCACACCGTAGCATTATTTATTTGTTTATTTATATTAGGGCCAAAACAATTAATCAGATTAATAGATTATGGAAATAATAATCAATTAACCATTGCATAGAGACTCTAAAACATGACTTTAGCTGACAGAGCAACCTACTGTCAATATGCTCTATTCAGAGACAGTGGGAAAGTTTTAGTTTGACCTGGTTTAATTCTGTAAAAAAAAAAAATGCTATCCGATTATTAATCGATAAATCAAGATAAGATTAACCTTATTGTCCAAAAAGGAAATTTGATTTACAGACTCCTGCTGCTACATAGTCCAAACTATGTCACATTGCATTCACATATAAAAACACTCCTATAAAATTCCATCATAAGACAATAAATAAATACATAAGGAAGCATGTTACGTTACATTCACAATAAAAATTGTAAGAAATTTTTTTTATAAAAACCATCTTTAAAGAATCTGTTAAGGTAGTTTAAATTTTTTAATACCATTGCCTATTCCACAATTTACTGCTGGATACTGTTTATTGCCTTAATGGAAAGCAGAACAAATGAGTTCTTATAGCGGTTCAGTCTACAGGCAGGGACTCTAAGACATCGACCTGAAGGAAGAATCTGATACTATGAATAAAGAATATGAGTGGATAAAAATTAAAAATAAAAATCCACAGATTACTCGATTAGCAATATAAATTGTTAGTTGCAGCCTTAATTTATAAGAAATTCATTTGTGTTTAAATCTTCAAATTGGCCTAAAAGGAGAAGCTACATCTTGTAAATGTTAGTCATTTTACCATAAGAACTGTCCAAAATCCTGAAACCATTTATCCTCCATTGCAGATCTGGGATCCACTCACACAGCGCTTCCATCGAGTCATTGCACTGGACTTTCTTGGATTTGGCTTCAGTGACAAACCAGTGAGTCTGCAGCTTGATTTCCTGATGCTGTAATGTGTTTCCTGCCACTTGTTGATCCATTACTGCTGTTTCTTTTCCTTCCCTCACACTGTTTACAAATCTCCTTTTCGATGATTGCTCAGAGACCCCACAGATACTCCATCTTTGAACAGGCCAGTATAGTTGAAGCCCTGGTGAACCATTTGGGTCTGAGCAATCAGCGTCTCAATCTGATATCCCACGACTATGGAGATACTGTGGCTCTGGAGCTGCTGTACAGGTCATCCATTTCTTTCAGGTCTCAACAAATATTAATGGTTTACCATTGATTTCTTCCTCTACATTTTTTCCCCTCTTTTTTTTTTATAAATTAGGAGTGACCAAAATCGCAGCGGCCATCTGATCTTCAACAGTCTCTGTCTTTCAAATGGAGGTAATGTAATGTGTACCCTGTTGGCATTCCTTGGAGAGTTAATAAATAAATGCAAAATCAATACAAAAAAACAAACATCTCATGTATAATATTAGACATTTCTAAATTCCAAGACATTTTGCTCATGTTCGTATGTGATTACAGCTTTAATGTATTAAAACACAAGCATAAGTAGGAACACATGGATCTTGTAACAGGTGTTATACTAGGGTGAGGGGGGGGGGGGGGGGGGGGGGGGGGCTGGGGGGGTGGGTGATGGGATCTCTGTTCCCATGCATAGAGATGTCTATATCTACAGTTGATTTATTAAAAATGCTTTTCAGTAAAAGTCAACAGCAATAACTCCAATAACAAATGATAATTTTATTCAAAATGTATTTATTAAAAATGCTTAACAATTCCTGTAATGAATGAATAGCACAATGAAAGAAATAATGTCTCATCTAAACATCCCTCACTTAACAATAAAAGTTAACAATAACTCTCGACTCCATATAACACATGAGACTCAGTCTCAGCAATGAACGAAATAATGTCTGTTCTTTAGGCTATTGGAAAAAATAAATTAACAAATGAGCTAATTAAAAAATACCTCTTGTGTAGCAAAAATAACTCAAAATGTACCAAAAAACGAACAAACATATCAATAGACTATCTTTACTTTCGGTGTCCAGGTGGCTTTTCAGATCCCTTGCACCTCCATTGGACACCAAGACACATGTGCCTGCTTTGCACACAATATGCACAAGGCATCCAATGTGTCTCGACCCAGTCTGAAAGCGGGGAAACTCTTTTGTAAATCGTCGGTAAACAATTTGCGCTTTTGCATGTTGTTGGTGTACTGACAGCCACGCAATCTATATTCTGATTAAGAACAGGGCTCAGGGATTATGTCACACGCAGCATCGTGCGCAGTGCCCTAGTGCCTGTAAATTTAATGGTCCAATTAAGGTAATTTAATAAATCCAGACATTTCCTCACTTTCTAAAAAAATCCCGGGACGCCCGGGACAGGACGTGAAATACGGATATGTCCCGGGAAGTACGGACGTTTGGTCACCCTAGTTATACTCATGTAATATGCTGCTCTTCTTTACGAAGGTTCCTCTTATACAGCAGTAAACTATTTTTTGCATTAAGCCAGGGAGCAACCTTTCTATTTTTAAAGTTTTTCAAAGGTGCTGCATTGTCTGAGACATTAAACAGAGAACTAGATACCCCATCGACAGAATCATTAACCTGTGAAGGGGAATAAACTAAACTTTTGCACTCTGTCGTACTGCTCAGTGACACAGAGGAGAGAGAAAGTGAAACTGATTCTTTGAAATTTATAACTGCACTATCTGATACTGATTGGCTAATGTTAAAGTAATCCTTAAGGTTATTAAAAAAGTGGTCAGAGGACAGGAAGTTTTAGCCAATTTTTATGTCATACTATAATATGACTTGTTTTAGCTACTTATTTTGGTGAAACTATGCTATGACTCATTTTAGGCATTTTTGAGGTCACACTATTCTATGTGTCTTTTTAGCAAATATTTGAGGTCATACTATACTATGACTTGGTTAGGCATATTTTTTTAGGTCATACTATACTTTGACTTGCTTTAGCCTATTTTTGAGGTCACACTATATTATGACTCGTTTTAGCCAACTTCTGATGTCTTGCTGTACTATGACTTGTTATGCCAATTATTTAGGTCATACTAAACTATAACTCGGTTTGGCCTATTTTTTGAGGTCATACCATTCTATGACTGGTATTAACTCTTTTTGAAGTCATACTATACTGTTAGTCATTTTATCCAATTTATTCAGGTCTTACTATACTATGACTCGTCTTAGCCAATTATTTAGGTCATATTGAACTATAACTGGTTTTGCCCTATTTTTCAAGTCATGCTATATTATAACTCGTTTTAGCTATTTTTAAAAATCATACTATACTATGTGTCTTTTTTAGCAAAATATTGAGACAATACTATACCGTCTGTCTTTTTAGGAAATTTTTTAGGTATTTTTGAGGTCATACTTTACCAAGACTCATTTTAGTCTATTGCTGAGGCCATACTATACTATGACTCATTTAGCCAATTTTTGAGAACATACTATAGTATTACTATTTTAACCTTTTAGCCAACTTCTGATGTCTTGCTGTACTCGACTAGTTTTAGCATATTATTTAGGTCATACTAAACTATAACCCGGTTTGGCCTATTTTTTGTGGTCATACCATACTATGACTGGTATTAACTCTTTTTGAACTCATACTATACTGTTAGTCGTTTTATCCAATTTATTCAGGTCTTATTATACTATTACTCATCTTAGCCAATTATTTAGGTCATACTGAACTATAACTGGTTTTGGCCTGTTTTTCAAGTCATACTAAATTATAACTCGTTTTAGCTAATTTTTAAAATCATACTATGCTATGTGTTTTTTAGCAACATATTGAGGTCATACTATACAATGACTAATTTTAGCCAGTTTTTTAGGTCATAATGAACTGTAACTTGTTTCGGACTGTTTTTGAGGTCATACTATACTAAGACTGGTTTTGGCCTATTTTTCAAGTCATACTATATTATGAACCGTTTTAGCAATTTTTTTTTAAAATCATACTATACTATGTGTCTTTTTAGCAAAATATTGATGCCATACTATACTGTGTGTCTTTTTAGGAAATTGTTTAGGTATTTTTGAGGTCATATGTTACCAAGACTAATTTTAGCCTATTTTTGAGGTCATATTATACTATGACTCGTTTTATCCTATTTCTGATATACCGTAAATCCTCTAATATTGGCCTGTATTCCATTAGCAGCCGGGTCTCTAATAATGGCCGGTTTTGCTGTCGGCGGGGGTAAATAATGGCCGGACGCTAATACAGGCCGGGGCTATAATTGGAACCAACGATGTTCCTGTGCAGTCCACAGCAACCTCTGATAGTAACATGCAAGTACCACAGGGGGGCAGTGTTTGCTAACGAATCCAATCCATTAGCTTGGGAATTCCCATCCTTAGCGCAGACTGTGCTGCAGACAGGAGGCCGGATTGTTTGGTTTTTATGACCGGCTGTGATGGCAGAAGAGTTTCCATTAATTTATTTTAAAACTTTGTTTGGCCAAGAATCCATTCTGTGTCTTTTTTTTTGTATTGCCGTGCAGAAAAATAGCAGCTGCTGGAAGATGTCTGAATAATGTTCTGTAAACCGTTATGGTAACTGTACTTTTGCAATAAATTAACCTAGTATTTTATCGGTTCAAAGAGACACAATCTGTTTTTATTCATTGCACTGGTCGTCTGTTTTGATCAAATAGAAATAGAGGCCTGCCTCTAATTCTGGCCTCCTTCCAATAATGGCCTGGACCAAGATGCACCTGAGTGAAATAAAGGCCCCAACCTATATTAGAGGATTTACGGTATTACTATTCTAAGACTCATTTTAGCTTATTTCTGATGTCATACTATTATAGGAGTCGTTTTAGCCTATTTCTGAGGCCATACTATTCTATGACTTGTCTTAGCCAATATTTGAGGTCATACTATAGTATAACTATTTTACCCTATTTCTGATGTCATACTACACTGTGAGATATTAGGCAAGTTGTATTTTTGAGGATTATTTTATTATTGGACCACAATTGTGTTCTCAATCAACCCAAAAGAATCCTTAATATTAAAGTTTCATATTTTGGTAAGTTGATGTGTTTTCTTTAGATTAGTCCATTTTATGATGATGCAGGTAAATATTACTGTGCAGAATTATTAGGCAACGTAATAAAAAAACAAATATATACCCATACCCATGTTTATTTTCACCAGTTAAACCAATGTAACAACTCAAAATTCAGAAATTAACATTTGCGACATTCAAAAACAAAAACAAATCAGTGACCAATATAGCCATCTTTCTTCACCATGACGCTCAAAAGCCTTCCATCCATAGATTCTGTCAGTGTCTTGATCTGTTTGCGATCCACATTGCGTGCAGCAGCCTCCACAGCCTCCCAGACACTGTTCAGAGAGGTGTACTGTTTTCCTCCCTGTAGATCTCACATTTCATGAAGGACCACACGTTCTCGGTGAGGTTCAGATCAGGTGAACAAGGGGGCCATGTCATTATTTTTTCTCCTTTTAGACTTTTTCTGGCCAGCCACGCTGTGGTGGATTTTAATGCATGTGACGAAGCATTGTCCTGCATGAATATCATGTTTTTTTTTTAATGATGGCGACTTCTTCTTGTACCACTCTTTGAAGAAGGTGTCTTCTAGAACTGGCAGTAGGTCTGGAAGTTGATCTTGACTCCATCATCAACCCGAAAAGATCCCACAAGCTCATCTTTGATAATACCAGCCCATACCAATACCCCACCTCCACCTTGCTGGCGTCTGAGTCGATAAGGAACTGGCTACCCTTTAATGATCCAGCTTGGTGCCCATCCATCTGGCCTATCAAGACTCATTCTCATTACATCAGACCAAAACTCCTTGGAGAAATCAGTCTTCAGATATTTCTTGGTCAAATCTTGACGTTTTGTCTTGTGTCTTGTTCAAAGGTGGCCTTTTTTCGGCTTTCCTTACCTTGGCCAGGTCCCTGAGTATCGATCACCTTGTTCTTCTCGGCACTCCAGACATGTTGCAGCTCTAAAATATGGAACAACTGGTGGCTAATGGCTTCCTGGCAGCTTCACGCTTGATCCTTCTCAATTCATGGGGAGTTATTTTGCATCTTCTTTTTTCAACACACTTCTTGCGCCCCTGTTGGCTATTTGACATAAACCGCTTGATTGTGCGATGATCCCGCTTCCAAGAATATAGTATGACTTGTTTTAGCCTATTTCTGACATCATACTATTCTACGATTAGTTTTAGCCTATTTATGACGTCATACTATACTATGACTCGTTTTAGCCAATTTTTGATGTCATACTGGTTTTAGCCTATTTATGACATCATACTATAATATGACTATTTGTACCCTATTTCTGCTGTCATACTATATTATCGCTTATGTTAGCCAATTCCTGCGGTCATAGTATACTGTGACTCATTTTAGCCAATATTTGAGGTCATAGTGTAGTATAACTCGTTTTAGCCTATTTCTGACATCATATTATACTATGACTAGTTTTAGCCTATTTCTGACGTCATACTATTCCGTAAATGTTTTTAGCCTATTTCTTTCTTCATAGTATACTAGGAGTCATTTAAGCCTATTTTAAGGTCATACTATGACTGATTTTAGCCAATTTTTGACTTCATACTATTCTATGAATAGTTTTCATCTATTTCTGACGTCATACTAAACTATGACTTGTTTTAGCCCATTTCTGAGGTCATACAATACTATGACTTATTTCAGCCTAATTCAGACGCCATGCTATATTATTACTAATTTAAGCCAATTATTTGCATCATCAGAGGCGATTCTAGAGTCTGTGGGGGCCCCAAGCAAAAAATCCTAGGGGGCCCTTCTGACCAGTGTTCATCACCATTATGTTAGGCTATAAATAATCTGACACCAATGAAAAATGTATTAAATAAACCTTTTTTTTTCCAAATGTTCTAAACATGAACAACCTTGTTATTTTGGAAAATATAAAAGAATAAAAGTAAAGAATAAACTAATAAATTAAAATAAATGTATAATAAAATAAAAAAAAACAGTAAATTACTTTAAAAACCCAATATAAACTTTGTACAAAATATAAAGTAGCTATAGTAAGTGTAGTGAAATTATTAGGGTCCTATACTGCTTCCAGAATTGCTGCTTACGGGCCTTGGCTTGTGCAAATGCAGACATAAGTCCTCCAGATCCAAAGACCTTCACACACTATACTCTATGGAAATAAGCGCCAGTCCTGAAAGTCTCTCTTGAGACATGAAAAATGAATCATTTTCCTTCAGCTTAGTTACATACCGTAAATCCTCTAATATAGGCCCGGGCCTTTATTTCACTCAAGTGCATCGCGGTCCAGGCCTTTATTGGAAAGAGGCCGGAATTAGAGACAGGCCTCTATTGCTATTTGAGCAAAACAGACTACCAGTGGAATGAATAAAAATGAGATTTTGTGTCTATTTGAACCTATAAAACACTAGGTTCATTTATTGAAAAAGTACAGTTACCATGTCTCGCTTGGTTTGAAGTAAAAAAGAAAAAAAAATCCTCCAATTCTGTTTAATCCTCCTCCTCAGTTTCCTCCTCCTCTTCATCTCTCCCTTTAATCTCCTCATCACTTGCGCTCCTCCTCATGTTCTGCTGCGTGTCTGTTCTCTTCCTCGCGCAGACGGGCAGCAGTCAGGGCCTGTCGTCCAGCAGCGCAGGGCTGTGGTACTTGTATACTACCACAAGTATAATGTTGAGGTATGCCCAGAAAAAACGTTTATAGCCCCGGCCTGTATTAGAGACCGGCCATTATTTACCTCCTCTGACAGCGAGACCGGCCAATGTTAGAGTCCCGGCCGCTAATGGAATACAGGCCAATATTAGAGAATTTACGGTAATTGCTTTCCAATTTACTGAACGATAGGCCTACAACGTCACCCATTCGCTAGGCCACGTTCATTTTCATTAAGGGAAGTCATCCACCTGGGCTGGTCTGGATTTTGACTGGGCAAAGCCAATGTCAATCAACATTCCATCCAATCTGAATTTTTATATGCAGTTGTGCATCTCCTCAGTTACTATAGCGTTGCCACTTCATGCTCGCCTGTTGCTGTTTATCTACCGGGTGTACAGTAGCTGGCTCTCGGGGGCCCCCCAGCGGCTCGGGGCTCCAAGCAGTTGCTTGGTTTGCCTGTTGACAAGGTGCGCCTCTGTGCATCATACTATATTCTATGACCTATTTTGGCCTGTTTTTAAGATCATACAATACAATGAATTATTTTAGATTATTTTTGAGGTCATACTATACTATGACTCATTTTAGCCAATTATTTAGGTCATACTATACTATGGCACGCATTAAGTTATTTAGAGGTCATATTATAGTCTGAATCGTCTAAGCTCATTTTTGAGGTCACTCTATTGTATGAATCGTTTTAGCCTGTTTTTGACATCATACTATACTATTACTCGTTTTAGCCTATTTTTGAGTTCATACTATGCTATCAGTCATTTTAGCCAATTGTTGAGGTCACACTATATAATGACTTTTATTTATCCAATTTTTCGAACCAGATGAAGATCTGATATCACATGTTTGCAAGCCTGCAACAAATAATAGGATAAATCCTGATTGATTACTGAAATATTACTCAACTAATTTAGATATCAATTAACTTTGCTGGTGAAGATTCTGTCATCCAGGTCATAGTGATTCCAAAAAAGTTAAAAACAATCCACTGGACTTTGTTTCCAAGTTTTTAGACATTTTGCTTCCCATCAGGAAGCTATTTTAATTCAAAATGTCTTTGCAGGCTAACAAAGAACCCAAATGACTTCCCATTCCTAAAGGGTGGACCCATTAAACAAATCATCCATATTTGGTAGTAATTTCCTGTTTATTAAAAAGTTGGAGCTGCTGTCTCTGCTATTTAAACACTTTGCAATAATGGAAAAGCTGGTTAAGCTTTATTCATGTATAATATTTCAATGTGCTATGGCAGAATCTGATTGTTGTGATTTAAAGACAAGGATAACCCTGGCAGGTTTTCATTTTTTCCCCAATAGGGTTATTTCCAGAAACTCATCACCCACGATTGCTGCAGACGGTGAGTAAAGCTGCCTTCATTCTACTCTTTGACCTTTATGTTGTAATTTATTAAAAGGGGTTAAAAGTGGACTGCATATTTTTGTCTGTGAAATGTTCTTAATTTTCCTTTTTCCTCCAATTAGCTGTTGAAGGACTCAAGTATTCTGGGGACGGTTCTGACACGCCTCATTAACTCCATGATCTTCCAGAAGGGGTGAGAAGACCAGAATGTTTTAAATGAAAAATGCAAGGAACTGTTTTATCTTATGCTTTTAGTCCTTTTTGGTAGCATTGGAGAAGTGTTCGGTCCCTACACTCAGCCCACAGATGCAGAGTTCTGGGACATGTGGACAAGTTTACGCTACAATGATGGCAACTTGGTTTTAGACAGGTAATGTTGCGTTCAAATGCTCACTGTTCCTGATTTATGGAAGGGGATTTCACTTTTTTTTTTTTTTTCTCCCTCAGTATTCTCCAGTACCTCAATCAGAGATTTCAGCACAGAGATCGATGGGTGGGAGCGCTAACGTCTACACATGCCCCATGTAAGTTTAATGGATCAGAGGGGGGAGCAAACCCTTCCTAAAATATGAACTAGCTCAGTAAAGCCGGGCTTACACTGTGCTTTTTTTTTTTTTTTTTTCCCTTTTCGGGCCGACTTTCCAGTTGTACGCATTTGCGAACAAGGACTCTTCTTCTTTCTCTCAGATGAAAACATAGAAGCATGGTGGGGGTGCGGGTGAAATGGCTTTCAGTAAATTTGACAGACCATAGTAGCCACATTTGTTCAGCCATGTCTTTGTCAAATATGTCGCCGCCTTTTCTTTTTAAGGCTTTCAGCACACAAATTGCCAAGGCAGAGCATTTAACTCTAGTGAGCTTCATATTCCTCTTCTACAAGCTTGGCTAGACGAGTCCGAGTAGCGCCATCTCACTACTGAGCTCAGTCCGACGTGGTTTTTAGACGTGCAGTGTGACCAGGTAGATCGCATCAGAGCGTCGTACAAAGTGCGAGAACGTATCGTGAACGGTGAACTCATGCTGTACTACTAAACCCTGCAGGTGCGTCGTACAGTGTGAGCTTGTAGCTGTGTGCAACAACTGAAAAAAATCGCACAGTGTATTCCCGGCTTAAAGGAATAGTACACCCAAAACATGATTAGCCTTCATTTTCTACTCACCTCCATGCTGAACAACACTCTGGAGTACTTTTTTGATATCTCAAATGCATCTGGAGATCTGGGAGGCTTCTTGCTGTCTGCTGACATTCAAATAATGGAGGTCCATGGCGCCCGAGACAGAAAGGTCCATAAAAGTCCACAAAAACGTGTCAATATTCCTCCATACTGCTCGTCCAATGTAATCCAAGTGTCCTGAGTGGGTAGCATCCAGAATTTACTCGAAACGAAGTCATTTAGAATGTTTTTAGAGCATAAACAGTAGTGTATAGGATTTCCTAATAGCGCCCCCATGCGCGCTCACGATTCTACGGAAGCCGGCAGACCAAACCGGAAGGAAGTGCGCATTCAGCGTCTGGTCTGCCGATAATGCAAGCGTAGAAGAAGAAATGTGCTGTTTACCTGTGCAAAGAAAGAAACAACGAAAGAAAAATGTCTGAGGACTTCAGTGTTGAGGAAGAGCATGAGTTCTTTGCCGAGCTGAATGCGCTGGTTTGGTCTGCCGGCTTCCGTAGAATCGTGAGCGCGCATGGGGGCGCTATTAGGAAATCCTATACACTACTGTTTAGGCTCTAAAACGTTCTAAATGACTTCGTTTCGAGTAAATTCTGGATGCTACCCACTCAGGACACTTGGATTACATTGGACGAGCAGTATGGAGGAATATTGACAAGTTTTTGTGGACTTTTGTGGACCTTTCTGTCTCGGGCGCCATAGACCTCCATTATTTGAATGTCAGCAGACAGCAAGAAGTCTCCCAGATCTCCAGATGCATTTGAGATATCAAAAAAGTACTCCAGAGTGTTGTTCAGCATGGGGGTGAGTAGAAAATGAAGGCTAATCATGTTTTGGGTGTACTATTCCTTTAAGTAATGCTAAACTGCTGAGCATTTAAGGACAGAAAGAAGGGAAATGATTGAAAGGATGGAATAAGACAACAAGGTTAGAAAGAAGGAAGTAATAAGAGGATACAAGGTAGAAGAAGGAATGAAGTAAACAGAAGTAAACCAAATAAATACCTAAACAGAACAGGAAGACTAAAATCAGACTCTTCCTGAACTCTCACATTAAAAGAACAAAATGGTTTATTCACTTTTTCATCTCCTACATCTTCCATTTGGTTTCCTCCCCCTCCTGTGTTTCAGTGCACATGATTTACGGACCTCTGGACCCTGTCAACCCCCATCCACAGTTCATCCGTCTTTATGTGTGAGTTTCCCTTCAAGCAACTTCCTTAACCCGGGCTCTCATAAGTATTCACACCTTTTGAACGGGTTTCACAACAACTTCAAATTCAAACAGATGTTTAGATACCAACCACAAAGCTTTATCTCTGTTCACAGCTCCCATACATCAGTGATGTTATCTAACACCTCTGCAGCCTTCATGGAACTAAAATTTTACATTACGTAGTGTTGGTTTGAAAGAAAATCCTAAACAATGTTTGTGGCTGTTGTGTTTAAAAGTTCAATGGGTATGAATATTTATTTAAGCAACTGCATAGTCTGCCTCAGTGTGAATGTGAAGAGAAAATATTTCAAAATGGTCGGATTAATTTGAATCTCCATTTGATCCATAAATGAGCTTTAGCCAGCAACATGTTTAGTTTTTTTTGTTTACCATTTTCTTTACAATAAAAGCATAAAATTAATCCCAAGCATTTCAATTAAACCTTTACTGGTGAGATATACATTTTCCTTCTTAAGAAATTCTGTTGGTTTTAAATGTGACCTATGGTTAATAAATTGGGTCATATTGAAATTCAAAACACAGAAAGAAAAAGTAACTAAGCTTTTATTAAAAAGAAAAATGAATCCATCAAATGTTAAACAGGGCTTTTAAATTTCTTGTTAGCGGTGGATAATTTTGTCCAGATTTAAGTTTAATTGTAAAAAAAATAGTGCTGGTCTTAGTTGGTTCAGTGAAAAAAAAAAAGTTTTAACCTCAAACTGTTATGAAAAATGCCTTCTATTGTCAATAAATAGGTGGTTTCTAAAGTTCTCAGCAGTTCATTAAGAAAAACTTTCATTTATTCTGTTCTTGCAGGCATCTGGTGAAGAAGTCGACCATCACAATTCTGGACGACCACATCAGTCACTACCCTCAGCTGGAGGACCCCACCGGCTTCCTAAAAGCTTATTTTAATTTCATCCACTCTTTCTGAACAGATCTGACACAGGCACCTTGTGTGAGTAATCAAAACCAGATCAAAATGATTTTCAACCCTCAATGAGGAATGTTAGGAGCTAAAGTGAAGTCTGAGGAAAACAAATGCACATTTATAGAAACCTGAGATGATCAACTACTGTAATATTGAGCATATCTGTTGAATCCAACATTCTGAATTACTTTTGATATCATTTTCTACATCATGCTAAATGTTAACTATCTTTAAATAAAAGTAATTTTGTTAAAAAAAAAAAGAGTCTTAATTGCATTCTGATTTACTTTATTGTGAAACTGAATGAAACAATATTTTCTAAGAACAGAAGATGGAAAAAAATAAGACAGAAATGTTTTAGTTTATATAGAAGATATAAAACATTTATCTGGTTGACATAGCCACAAGAACGAGTTTAAGGACTGACAAAGAGATGGATTAGGGTTGTTACATGCTAAATGGCTGCGATGGGTTCCGATTTCTAGCCGACAGAGGCCAGGATCACATCGACAACGGTCTCCTCACTACTGCGGACCGTCACCTGCATGGTCACGCCATCAGCCAGCGCCAGACGAGCCCGAACCAGCACATCGTGGCCTCCTCGGAAAACACCTGGGGGGAGGTGGGGAAATCTTACTCTCAGCAAACAGATTTCTAAGAATTAACTTTGACTCTTTGAGGAATCTCACCAGCAAGGAAGAGGACGTGAGAGTTCTTATTTTCTGGAACTTTGTCGGAGCGTTCACAAGGCTGCATTCCCAGGAAGCTGATGATGTTCCCCACCGCCTCTGTAAATGGTTCAATAAAGAGATTGAGTTTGATGCAAAGATTAAACACACCTCTAGATGGAGCTACCTTCACCAACATCAGCTTTGCATGTAGGAAACTTGTGCGTACCATCCAGCGTTCGCACAGACGCCAGAGCGAACGTCTCTTCCTTCTCGTACTCGTCTCCCACTTCCTCCCACGCTGCTCCAAAATTAGGTTTCAAGACTTTTTGAATGTGGTCTGCAACGGTCACCTCCAGGTCTTCTAGCTGGAGGGAGTGAGAATTTGGAAAAACTAATTAAGATCTCAGGACCTGCAAAATTTGCTTGTCTTACCAACTCTAACTCCACTCCTACTTACCACGTATTCGTCATCGTAACCGTCATCGTCAGGCTCTCCTGTGTTGGGGTCACAGTCCCTCACCAGGTACTTCATTGTACAGCTGAATGTACACGTCACTGCAGGCAGACAGAAGTCCTGTTCACTGAAATTGCAACTATGCCCAAAACTTGACCAAAATCCAGAGTTTTGAGAAATTCTAAAGTACGATTTCTTTGCATGTTTCATGTTTGTGACCCAACATTCAGCTGCAATCTTAGAGTTGTATACCATCTCAAACCATAGTTAGATATCTGGATTGTTGGCACAAGGTGTTAATGTGCTGTGCTTTGACACCCATGGTGGTGGGTTCAAACCCCGGGAAGGGCAACATCTAGAGAAAAAAAATAAACTTCCAGAGGACCTTAGACGTAAGATAGGGTCCATCTGACTAGAGATCTATGAGGTACAACAAAAATGCTACGGCAGATGTGGAGCCAGGACGCCAGGAAGTGGGGATGCATGTCCTCCCCACTATCAATCTTAGAGGACAGCTACAACAGAATGTTGGTAAGTGAAGTAACAAGTGCAGGGAGTACGTAGTGTAGATGTACAGAGTAATCTAGATATAAAGTGCCTCGTAATCTACTAGAAAGAGGAAAAAGCAGGGTGACGTGTAGAGGACAACTTAAAAATGGGCCTCCAAATTTATTTTTTTTTTTTTTATAATTCTTTCCTCTATTAGTTTATACATCTTGACCTAAAAAACAAACCGTGTATCCATTATGACTGTTAAAATCTTTCACCTTGATGCTTCTGTTAACATTGCCTGGCTAGAGTGAAAGCGTTTGGTCAGCGTTTCAATTCCTTCCAACCTACGGGGTCATTGCTGCCAGCTGTGTCTCATTATTAAAACACAGGACCAGGTTTCTGAACTGATCCAGGTGGTTTATGAAGCCCCCTACCGAGCTCTACTGGAGGATCCTAAAATAGCATGACGTGCTTTATGATGATTCCCTCACATCGTTTAGTAGCGTGTTTATGGATGATCCAGGCCTTGGTTAGGGAGACCCTGACCAGTGGTTTCCTCTCTGGTTGGCTTGCTGTGCATCTCTCTTCCAAGTTTAAGGTATTAGGAACTTTTCCCAAAGCAAGTTTAACACTAAAGCAGTGTTAAATTCATTTCCATTCTAACAACCAAAACCATCACTTCTTTTCACCCATGTTGAATGGATATAATATCCGAGTTATTCAGTATATAAAGACAGACTATTCCTCTTAGACAGAATTGACACTAAATTTAAGTATAAAAGTCGGGACGTTAGTTAAAACAAATCCAGCCTTCATACCGGCGGTAGGGTCATCGTCAGGCAGCTGCACCAGAGTGTAGGCGGACCCAGGCTGGCTGTAGGGGAGGCTGGGTGCTGGAATGTAGTGGACCACCTCATAGGCCTCAGATGGCTCCATCTGTACTACAACCTGAAACCAACAGGAGTTCAGCCCCGTTGCATCAAACTTGCTATAAAATCGTGCTGTTAGGAAACATGTCGGATCTGGTATCCAGGAACCTTTTGGAGCAGCTGGTCGTTCAGAGTGTTTGTGCAGTCGAACTGGAACACCATGTGTCGGGCGAATGTGTGCTTGATGCAGCGAACCACGTATTCTGTCTCAGCTTCTGTCAGCTGTACTGCTTCTGACGACTTGAATAACGGGCCGAGGGTCTGGAATTCTGGGATGGATGCAAGTTGCTCTGCAAGTTGGTGACGAGAAAATAAAGGTGGACATCGATTAGTTGTCTTTGGCAGTGTAAAGGTCAAACTAAAGCAAGTGCAGACATGTAGTTTTACCTTGGTAGATGTCCTGGCGTGATGGACCCAACTTTTCTGGCAGTTTGCTTGTAGCAACAGGAGCAATTTCTAAGAGGGAATAAATAAAATGATTTGTTTTATGCACAGAATGATAATATTCAATCAGCAGCAAATATACAAGTACCTGTTTTCTGCTCTGTGATTGGAGCTGTTGCCAGAGGTACAGACTTCATATCAAAAGGTTTCTCTGAGGGCTCCAGAGTGTACTGGTGGAGGGACTTTTCCAGACCGGGAATGGACACGGACAACCCTGAGACACAAGGAAGAGGAAACGTCAACATTAAGCCCTGTGGAGGTCTCTGGCACAACTGCATTGTTTAAAAGCAGCAGCTTTACCATTAAAGATGTACGCAGCATTCAGAGCTTTCTGCTTCTGCTGCAACACGTTCATGTAGAAGGTAGATCTATCTCGCACCTCATCATCACTGTCCATCATACACCTGTGAGAACCAAACATGTTAGTGTACATCAACAATAGATGTTTAAACATCCATTTGGGAATTGAATCTTGTTTCTATTCAAAATAATATAGACTGAAATAAATATGTAAAGATTTTTATATTCCCTTCAAGAGACAACAGACACGTCTCTTTTACTATATTGAGGGAAAACAAACATGCATAAGCACCTCTGCATCAGAACCAGGACGCTCGGCAGAAGATCATCATTCTGAGCACCAAATTTAGCCAAAGCGCTCACAGCAGCTGAAAATGAAATAACTCAGTTACTGGTAATCAGACCCAGAGTTTCTAACTTAAACTTAGATCATGAATCAACTTGGGGCTGTCTCACCTGCACGGACCGCCTCGCTCTCCAGCACCACCCGGTTGAATATGAAGCGAATGTACTTGGAGGGCTGCGGGGTCCGCGGTCCCTCTTTGCCAAGCAGGTGCAGGATCTTTGTGGCCAGCACTGTGTGCTCACAGTCCTCAATGAACTCACACAGGTGGGCCAAACCCGTCTCTTTGCTCTCAGGATTCTCCTCGATGATGCTAATGATGCAATCCACAATGGCTCGCTTGTACTCAAAGCCACCCTGCATGAAACCAGAGGAAATTATTCCTAATAGATGGAGGAAAACCTGCTAGAATAATCCTTCTCTAAACACTCTTAAAATTAGACATTTATTGACTTACATCATCTCTCAGCATGTTTGATAAGAAGTTCATCATGACGCTGTGCTTCCTGGGATACTTCTGACATAAGGCGCTGATGGCCTGCACCACCACCACCTGGAAAGAACAAATAAAACCGAGAGAATAAACATATCTAACCTATTTTTGATAAACTGGACCACATTCAATTACTTTACAATTTTCTCACCTTGAACTCATCAGAAATTTCAGAGACAAAGGAGGAGATCTGTTTCATGAGGCGGTCCACGCTGCTCTCACTGCCGGTCTTCAGGAGCGTAGTGATGGCCAGAGTTGCAATGCTGCGGTTGGAATCTGTGATCAGGTTCTCCAGGTCCAAGTTGCATGCAGTCACAGCTGACGGGTGTTTCATGGCAACCTGGGAAAGATATTGAACTTGAATAAGAGCACTTTCACACATAATGAATAGACATTAAAAATATTTAGTCCATTAATAGCTTTTAAAGCTCTAAAATATGCTGTATAATGGGGTTTAAATGAGGGCTTGTGCTGTACCTTGTTGAGGGTCCTGACAGCAGCATATCTCAAGGCGGCTTTAGGGGAGCTGCAGAAGAGCTGGAGCACTGCAAAAGAACGATCCACATTAGACCCAGAGAGAACAACATGATTAAATTAAATCATTTTAACAGTTTATCTGTACCGACTTGTTTGAACTCTTGCTTATTTCAGCACTGGCTTTAAACAAGCAAGCAAACAAGTGAGGCAGGAGTGGAACATCGACCTTGCACAATATTTGCTATGAATTGGTGTTTTATAAAAAGCAAAATGAACTAAAATGATATACTTTTGGTCTGAACTAGAACTAAATAAAAAACAAAAAACTATGTACACTGTTGCTAAAACAACAGTCCCCCCTTTAAAACACTGAAATGAAACTGATCTGCTAATCTTTTAACATAGGAACACTTGTGATAATCACATTTAATGGTGATGTCTTTAACTAGTTTATGAATAAGATCTGGTTAATCAGATAACCTGAAACAGCAGGAGCCAGCTCCCTGGCGGTACAGTTGGGCATGTGGACAATGGCAGAAGCAGCCTCATAAACGACCATCTCGTTCTTGTTCCTCAAGCAGCTCTCGATGAAGTCAAACAAGGGGCTGTCATGACTGTAGATCGAATACATTACATCAATACTGGTTCATCTATGATAA